CGCGGCGCGATGCAATGCAACGCAACACGTAAAAAGACAGTATAAGTCATTATAATCAGTAATTATGTCCCCACTGGATGCAACAAATGCCTCGTTTGTAATGGGTTTTAATGTTTTTGTCTCGTCGCTCCGGCCGGGACACGGCATCAACAGTATGGTAGGGGCGTAACATTTCCGTCTCACGCTTGAGGTATTCGGCCAATCACAATGCATTGGATAGCTGGCCAATCACAGCACACCTCGCTTTTTCAGACCGATGAGCTTTGTAAAAATCGTTTCAAAAAGGTGGGGCATAGAGGAGAAACAATAATGTACAGTATGTGGAAAATAATGTGTTTTTTTAACTTTAAACCGCATAAACACATTTCATTACACCAAATACACAAAATAATGTTCTTTTTAGCAGCATCATATGACCCCTTTAAATTCCCTTTTTTAGTCTCCACTAAGAATTGACGCTAACAGCTTCAGTCCTTTGAGAGAAAGAGATTTTTAAAGAAAGCATCTGTTACATCCGAACTGCTCCTTGTGGCCTCAGGAAAGTGTAATTAGGAAAACATTAAAGCTTAGAGTAGGATCAATGAATTAGAAGCTCACAAACAGAGAGAATACTACACTGGCAGCACTGATGAAACAGAGATGGTTCGTTAATAAATGTGGGCAGTTGGTTTCTTATCTCTACTGGAGCAGGGCCTGAGTCTACCACACAGAGGGCCCCAGAGGGACCAGAAGGATGGACCGTATCACTACTCATTAACTAGAGAAATCTAGTACAAAAGAGGAAAGTCTGAATGATAAATTGTGAGGATGGCAATGAAATGGCCCTTGTTTACTAGTATATTAAGGGTAGTGGAAAGTTTATTACTCATACTGTGTTATGAGGATGAGGATGTGCATGACAATGTATTTAAAAAAATGTTAATTGTCTATGTTTATATAAAAAAAAAAATCTTACATGAAATTTCCAGGATTTACACGGCCATTTTTGATAAAACATTTAATAAGATTATTTTTTATTTTTTATTAAATTACACCATATTCAATTATTATTAAGTTACTATAAGTTATAAGAATAAGTTATTAAATTGTATTGAAAATATTCAATATTTATTGAAATGTTAAGTTTTTGTTATTTAAATAAATTTTTCTTTAATTATATATTTAGATTTAAATGATATAAATCCATAAAGCACAGGGCTGATCACCATTAAACTTTGAAAGCGCGTTTCGAATTATCTGTCACAGATGCTCACCTAGGCTGAATCCAACATCGCCCCTATACCCTCATTCACTATTCCCTACATTAGGCCGCTAAACTCTGCAGGATACCGGCCCTCCAGGACCGAGTTTGGTGACCCTTGCTATACGCCGTGGACGAGCGCTTTGTAAAATGAATAGATGGATGATTCAGCTGCAGGCGCCATCTTCTGGCGAGATGCGGGAATTCATACAGTGCACGACTTTCACAGTGCATTATGGGTATTTTCTAGCCGCTGAGTGTGCACCAGTTGTACACTCGTTTTTGTGGAGCATTGTGGGATTGAATGAGTGCTCTTGAGAATGTCCACTAATATTTCAGACACCACTAAAAATGTCTGTCACCTTCTTTTTTTTTTTTTTTTTTTAAACTGGTATTTTCAAACAGCATTTATTTTGAAATAGAAATAATTTTGTAGCGTTATGACTTTTCTGTTACTTTCAATAAATGTAATGCTGAATAAAAGTATTAATTTCTCTCTCAAAAAAAAAAACTTTTGAACTTTGAAGATTATTTGTATTTTAATCAAAATTAATTAATTAAATATTATTTAATGCTTTTCAAATATTAAATTTTATTCAAAATATAAAAAATGATTGAAGTTTATATTAACATTAATGTATATTAATATTAATATGAATGTAACATTATTAACAAACCAATTAAGAATATAGTAAACACAATTTGGCATTACTGTATCGTGAAACGATGTATTATATTGTAAAACAATGTTTTCACCGCAGGTAAAGGGTGCTCTTAGGCACAACACAAAGAAGAAATGTTTCCATCATGTTTAAACAAGACTGCTACATGAGTTACAAATTAGGCCTCAGTGGTATAATGGAAAGAGTTAATGGTTCGCTTCTTACCGGGTTCAAACCTGCAAACTTTCAATTGGCAGCTTTGATCTTTAACCAGTAGACTACATCACTCAGTATAAATATATTATCTGCTCTTGAGATATGATGGATTGGTAAGCTGTATGCTCAATCAATTAAATTATGATGTGCATTCATCATGTTAACCCAAGGCTGGCATCTGGATACAGTCAGTAAACACAGTAGTAGCAGATCAATGTTAGAGGGAGAATGCCACACACACACACACACACACACACACACACACACACACACACACACACACACACACACACACACACACACACACACACACACACACACACTAGTCTGTCTCTCTCTCTTACTTTCTTACAGTCATCATTTGTGATTGTCAAAAGGGTCTTTATAGTTCAACCAAGCCTATGGTACCTACCATTCCCATTTAATGTATGTAATTTGAATTCTGCAACATCAAAAGCAGCATAATATAACAAAATGCTTGCTATTCACATGTTTTTCTTGCAAAGAATTTCATTTAGTCTGAATACACAGATATGTTTGAATGGTCATTGGAAAAATACGCTTTTTGCTTACAGAACGGTCAACAGCTCATAAAGCAGACTCAGCTAGGAGGAGAGATCAGTATGACTGTAGATAAGCGATATTTCACTGCTGTAAAAAGGGGGGGGGGCGCTAATCAAACGGCTGAAGGCAGTGAAACTCAAATAGGCACTAGACCCTCCCTTCTTTTTTCTAGCTCTCTCACGGTGACTGTGATGAATGAGAAGGTCTGGGAGGATAATCTTTTGAAAACACACACACTCACACACACAGTACAGATAATGTGCGTTTAAGAGAATGAAAGAAAAGAGGAAAACGGAATGATGCGGCGGATGGCAGGTCATCAGTCTGTTCCCAGAACTCCCTGAGGAGAGGCCATTATGAGCTCCCATGGGACAATCAGCCTACGCTGGCCATTTTATCAGAGCATGAGGCCTTGAGATGTGCAATGAAATAAATTAAAATCCCCTCATCCACATTTATATGCCTGAAAAGCTTCAAAAAATATTTGCTAGACTAATATGATATAAAGCTAGACTAATATTGTAAGCAGACGTAAATAAAATAAATAATAATTATAATTATTTATATAACAATAATAATAATAATTATTATTTAAATAATAAACAGATATATTATTATTATTAAATGAATGAATTATAATAATAAATAATAATAATAATACACAATAATTCTTATTATTTAGATAATAATAATAATAATTATTATTATTTAAATAATAAACGGATATATTATTATTAT